AAAAAAAAAAAAAAAAAAAAAAAAAAGGGCTAGAGCCATAGTTCAGGGCAAAAGCCCTGGGTTCAACCCCCAGCACACACACTCCACACATACTATAGCCCTCAAAGAGCACCAGGCACCAGCTCTGAGACAAGATTGAAATCATATACTCCCTGGCAGCACTTCTTGCACCTTGTGTGTCTCTAGACAAATCATAAACTCCTCGAGGGCAAAGGCTGTGCTTTTTCCTCACTGGTATTGGGGACACGCTGTACATATGAAATACTAAATTGCTTCACGATGCTATCCCAGAGTGTAAGGGAGGTTGGGCCAGGCAGAGAAGGGGGAAATCTCTTTGGAGCAGAACCAGAACCTGGCTGTACATCACTGGTTGCTGCTAGTCTGTCTGATCCACACAGCCTTTACATGGACTCCTTCTGCCAAACGTATTCCATAAGTGAGCAACTAAGTTCTTCTGTAGCAGGGCTGGTGAATCTCTGGCACGAGTGCTGCAGTGGGCTGTTTATATCATTGAAAGCTCTAAAAGGTTTGCCATCACTGCCCTATAGGATACCTTTAAGTATCTTATACCCCAACGACCCTTGCCATATTTTACCCTGTGTTATACCTTATATTCATTGATTTGTCCCAATTAGCCCTGACTGTCTGCATCCTTTAAAGAATGACCTACATGCTGGGCATGATGGCACACTCCTGTAATCGCAGCACTTGGGAGGACTGCTATGAATTCAAGCCCAGGTTAAACTGCATAGTGAGTCCTTGTCTCAAAAACCACAAACAAAAAAGAATGACCTCCATATGTACAAGCCCTTTGTTATCTCCCTTGACCCTCACAATGGAGCAAGGAGGGAGGTGCTATCTACCTGTTGGAAGTTCAGAGAAATGTTTTGCTGAGGATTCTTAACAATGAAGTCTACTGTATGAATGAAGATGACAAAGGAGAATTCTAGACTCTTCTTCCTATAGGTTCTTGAGTAGGCCTAGGCAAGACTGCAAGTGTGAGCAGTTGCTCTACAGCTTTCCATTTGGCTGGAAGAGCTTCTTCATGCCCTTGGTCAGAATGAACCCTGGGTACTATGTATAAGACTGTTGGGACTAGAGTTGCACACGACATGGACCCAGAAATCCAGGTGCTCATGGTAATCAGGACACTGGCACCTTTACAGAGTAACATAACACAAGACAGAATGCAGAAGTCATCAGGGAAGCAAGAGGAAGGGCCAAGCAAACTCAAGAGAAAGCAGCTATAGTTGGTGAAAGACACGTGGCAGTTGGTGAAATCTCAGACAGGCAAAACTTGAGCTGCCCTTTAGTCACTGGACAGCTGGGGTGTATGGAGGGACAAGCATATTCTGACAGTGGAAACAAAAGGCAAAGTCACCTGGAATGGAAGAGCTTGCTTAAGCCAGAGTGAGTCTGCTTGGAGCACTGAGGTTTAAAGAATCTTTACCCTTCTAAGGCTGTATCTTACCCTACAAATGGAGATGACAGGACCCGCAGTTCACTGGACTGAGGAACAATGAGATAATGAACATCCAGCCTGGTGCCTACTTTTACCTGTTACCTATTCTCTTATCACTGCTAGTGGTGAGAGCAGGACAGAAATGATGAGGGGCACCCAGCCCCAAAGGAGGAGATGCATAGCTGGTTAAAGACACCATTGTGAAGCTCAGGCTTTCTCTGAATGGTGGCCCCACACATGATGCCGGAGTGCCAAGACAGTGCCAGCTATCAGTGGCTTGCTGTGAAGATGACAGAGCTGGGAAAGCTCCTAAGGCTGTCTGTTCCAGCCTCCTCATTTTACAGATAAGGACAATGACGCAGACCCAAGAAGAGACTTGGCCCAGGGCACACAGCTGGGTTGAGTACCTTTGGCTTCTCTATGATGCCTTCAGAGGATGACAGAAACATATCTGCATCCACATGGTCTGGATGTACTCTTCCAATCTCAGAAGTGCCTCAGACCCTTCTCAGGAACTTACCCTCAGAAAACTCAAGCTAACAGAAGTCATAAAGGTCAGTGTCTCTCCCTATGTTTTACTCTCCTATATAATGACCAATCAAGGGAAGTAAGAGTGTTAGTTCTTTTTTTTTTTATTGTTTGAGGTTTGTTTGTTTTGTTTCTGAGACAGCGATTCAATATGCAGCCAGGCTGGGACCTTAACTTATGATCCTGCCTCAGTCTCCCAGAGTGCTGAGGTTACAAGTACACCCCACCATGCCTGGCTGGGTGTTATTTCTTCTACAGACTTTCTGTTGGCCTTATGTAATCTTGGTACAAGGGTTCCAAAAAGTAAGTACATTTGGAGAAATATGGCTCTGACCTATTAATCTAAATCCCTCCTGGGCATTAAGCCTCTCTGCTCTTGTTCTCTCAGAAGAATCAAGGAACAAGATGTAAATATTTTTTTTTTTTTTTTTTTGTACCAGCAATCAAACTCAGGACCTCGCGCTTGCCAGGCAGGCGCTTGTGCCACTGAGCTATATCCCCGGCCCATGAGATGTAAATAGCTCCTCCAGGATGAAGGACCTCAAGTCTTCTGCCACCTTGTTGGCTACCTAGAGAGAGGCTGGAGGTCCTGGGCTTCAAACATTTAAGGACTAAGGGTACACAGAGCTCAGTGGTTGAGCATTTGCCTCACTTGTGCAAGGCCATGGGTTCAACCCTCAGTGCAGTGCCCCCCCAAAAAGTATGTTTATTTACCCCAAAGTCACAACCAGCACAATGCATGGGGAATGCACTTGTGAGGGCTGCCTGACACAGACAGAGCACCCCTGAACTAAACAATGTCCTAAAGTGCCCCCAGAGTCTCTGCCAGGGGGTTGTACTGGGAATGGGATAAGCAGGGTGTTATGTACGTGGCTTTCTGTAAGTACCGTGCAGTAACCGGCTGCACCACTGGAACATTCCATACATGGCTTTTTAGAGATAGAAGAAATCTGATGAAGGATCTGAAGATACTTGTGGTATCAGCACTTTTCATGTATTAGCTTATTAATCCTTATCTCAAACCTGTGACATACAATGGTTGTAGTTGTTATCGTTCTCTCATTTTATAGATGAGGAAAATGATTCTGAGGAGACAGTAATCATCCAGTCAGTATGACAGCAACTGTAATATCCAGATTCAAATTCAGGAATGCCTGAAATAATAAGTCAGGCTCCTAACATCTCCTGAGGAGAGCACAGTGACTATCTGACAAATATAATGGTTGGCCTAGCTTTAAACTGTGACCAATACATGAGAGGGAGTTTAGGGGAAATCCTGTGTGTCTTCTCTTCATGTACTACTAGCCACAGGAGAGAGATGGACAAACCCATTATCATCATCTCTGTTTACCCATTTTGAGTGTTCATGGACCACTATCCAGGAAACCTCTAAAGACAAGATGCTCTGCGCGGTAACACCCCTCTAACCCGCTGCGTCCCCTTCCCTGGTTTGATCCTCTACCTGTCCCTGCCTCACTGTTGACAAGCCCTACTCTATCATCATCAAGATCTCCTCCTTTTGCCAGCCTCTAAGACTGACTGGGTGACCACTGGAGATAGTCACGGTGCTTCAGATACCAAAGTCTGTTCCCTGACTGGAAGAAACAGCCACAACTAAAAACACACTCAGCCACCTAATCTTTGATAAAGGTGCCAAACAAACTCACTGGAAGAACAATAGCCTCTTTAATAAACGGTGCTGGAAAAATTGGCTTGCCACCTGCCAAAGACTGAAAATATAGACCCAAGTCTATTACCATGCACCAAACTCAAGTCAAAATGGATCACAGATCTCAATATTACAACAGAAACACTAAATCTATTGGAAGAGAAAGTAGGTAAAAACCTTGAAGACATAGGGGTAGGCAGAGAGTTCATGAACACAAACCAAACTGCACGTGAAACACTTCAAAGTATAAACATCTGGGATCTCATCCTACTAAAAAGTTTCTACACATCTA